ATGGATGTGTGGGTGAATGGGAGGATAGATAGGTAGATGGATGTATACATGAATTAATAGACGGATGGGTGGAAGAGTGAGTGATGAATGAATGGATGGATGGAAGGGTAGATGGGTGGAAAGATGAATGGATAGACAAGTGGGTGGATGGGTAATGGATAGATGGATGAATGGATGGATGGGTGAGTGGATGGATGGATGGATAAAAGGGCAAATGGGTGAACAGATGGATGGATATATGGGTGGGTAGATAGATAAGTGAGTGACTTGATGGATGAATGGTAGATGGATGGATGTGTGGGTGAATGGATGGGTGTATGGCTGAATGGGAGAACGGATGGATGCATAACAGATGTGTGGGTGGGTGGGTAGGCAATGAGTATATGGGTGAATGAATGGATGGATGGGTGGATGAGTGATAGATGAATGGATGGATGGATGAATTGATGGGTGGGTGGATGGATGGATGGATGGATGAATGGATGGATGGATGAATTGATGGGTGGGTGGGTGGATGGATGGATGGATGGATGAATTGATGGGTGGATGGGTGGATGGATGGGTGGATGAATGGATGGAAGAATGGATGAGCGTGTGAATGGATGGATGAAAGGGTAGATGGGTGGATGAGTGGATGGATAGATGGGTGGGTGGATGGATGGATGGATGGGTAGATGGATGGAAGTGTGGCTGGATGAGAGGATGGGTGGATGATGGATGTGTGGGTGGGTAGGTGGATGAGTAGATGGGTGAATGAATGGGTGACAGGTAGATGGGTGACAGGTAGGCAGGTAAGTGGACACATGGGTAGATGGGTGATGGGTAGATGGAAGGGTGCATGAATGGATGGAAGCTATGAATTTATGGGCTGAGCCAGGGAGAGTAGGCAGGGAGAGAAGGACAGAGGCCCCTCAAGATGGATGCAGAGAAGGAGCTGCTGGTGATTGCGGCATCTCTTCATCTCAAAGTGGACTCAGATCCTGGACACCAACCTGGCAAGAAGGGCACAAGACTTCATGGCTCTTGGTCCTTCCACCCTCTTCCATCTTTCCTCCTGGCTGCCAACAGAGTACAGAGCCCAGCTTTGGCACCCAACAGGAAGAGAACCGGTTCCAAGGTCCCTAAGGCCTCAGACAGTGGAAGAGAGACTGGGTTTGGGTCTCAGTTACCTTCATCAGGGAAATGAGGACAAAGGAATGATGGAGAAGTGCTTAGCTGGGGGGACTCCTTAGACGTGTTGGTAAATCTCCATGTATGTACAGATTTCTCTGGACAGAAGGACCACAGCTTCCACCCAGGACCTGATGCCATGCAACAACGTGGTTCACTAAACTTAGAGGAATCAGGCAACAGTACAGGGTCTGGAGTCAGACCACGAAGGTCCAAATCCCCACTCTGCAGCTTGCAGGCTACCTAACCTTGGACAAATCCAGTATTGAGTGTCTTTGTCCCTTGAATTCCTCCCTCCACGTTTTCCCACCCTGCTCTGCACCCCTGGGCTCCTGGTGCTAGAATGTGGTGGAAATGATGGTGTGTAATTCTGAGGCTAGGGCTTAAAGGGGACTGTGGCTTCCTCCTTGATCACTCTGGTTATGTGCGCTGGGGGAAGATGCCATGTTGTGAGGAAGCTCAAGCAGCGCTGTGGAGAAGCCCCGTGGTGATAAACTGAGGCCTCCCGCCAACAGTCACTAGAGGGAGCCAGCTTGGAAGCAGATTCCTCAACCACAAGCTCCGGCTGATATCTTGGCTGTAACCTCCCTGAGCCAGGATCATGCAGCAAACTCACTCCCAAATTCCTGACCCCTGGTAGTTATGAGATAACAAGTGTTTATTGTTTGAAGTCTTTATTTTGGGGATAATTTGTTATGCAGCAATAAATAACTACTATGGTCCCTAGAACTCTGCTGTGCCCCTGGGCACTCATCTGTATGAACTGACCTGCCCTCCAGCTTCTGGCTGGTTTGATTTTTTGTTTGGTTGTGGGGTTTTTTTCTTTCTTTTTTTATGTATTTTTTTTTAGCTTCTGGTTGGTTTGGGGAAGCACTCACAGAAGGTCCAAGATGAAGAGTGAATTCAGGGAATTTACCGCAGACTCTAGATCCCTTTTACACATGCTGTTCCTTCTACCTGGAGTGCCTTCCATGCCATCTTTCAGGTTTCTTCTCAAATGTCATATCCCCAATGAAGCCCTCCATTGAGCACCTTCTCTATAGATTGCTGCCCCACCCTGTCCTGTTATTCTCTTCCAGTGCTGAAGATCAGAGAGGTTAAGTCACTGGCTCACTGTCACACAGCAAGGATGGAGCTGAGCAACGAGCCCACGTATGTGGCCACCAGACCCCACGCTCTAACTTGCATCATGTCGCGCCCAAAAGAGGGGCTCTCTATTCTTCAAGACGAAGCAGAGGCCACCCCCAGGCCCAGAACCTTCCAATGCTCATTGAGAATCAAGTCAAACTCATGCCATGACCTCAGGTCCCTGGAGGGCGCACGTCAGATTTCCTAAAGTCAGCCAAGCACAAAGACTATAAATGCCCTGATGTCCCTGGATGCTGAAAGTTCCCTGAGAATTCTGGAGGGAAGGGTGAGCTCCCTGCCCCAGAGCTCGCAATGTGGGGCACCATGGCTCACTGTGGTTCCTTCAGTCTCCATCAAGAGGCATGGCCTGGGGACCTGGATCAGCTGGCTCAGGGTGAACCACTCATCCTTCACTGGAGGCAGGGGACTCCTGACCACCCAAAGAGGACAAAGCTGACCAGGAGAGACTCATGCTAAGCGTGCTGGCTGGGCGTGCTGGCTCACACCTGTAATCCCAGCACTTTGGGAGACTGAAGCAGGAGGAGCGCTGGAGCCAGGAGTTCAGGATCAGCCTGGGCAATATAATGAGATCCCATCTCTACAAAAATTAAAAAATTAGCCAGGTGTGATGGCATGCACCTATTGTCCCAGCGACTCAGGAGGCCGAGGTGGGAGGATCACTTGACCCCAGGAGGTGGAGGCTGCAGTGAGCCATTGTACTCCAGCCTGGGCAACAGAGCAAGACCCTGTCTCAAAAAATAAAAATAAGGAGAGACTCATGAGAGACAGCACCCAGGTCAGCCTCCTCTGCAGACAGAAATAATGATCAAGAAGTCCCTGTGTTGGCCGGGCACAGTGGCTCACGCCTGTAATTCCAGCACTTTGGGAGGCTGAGGTGGCAGATCCCTTGAGGTCAAGAGTTTGAGACCAGCCTGGCCAATATGGCAAAACCCCGTTTCTACTAAAAATACAAAAGTTAGCCAGGCATGGTGGTGCGTGCCTGTAATCCCAGCTACTTGGGAAGCTGAGGCAGGAGAATCGTTTGAACCTGGGAGCCAGAGGTTGCAGTGAACTGAGATCACGACACTGCACTCCAGCCTGGGCGACAGAGCAAGACTCTATCTCAAAAAAAAAAAAAAAAAAGCCCTTGTGTTAAGTAACTGTGGCTCCATTTGCACCATAAAGACAAGTGAGGAAAATCCTTTTCCTTTTTATACTGAGAAACCAGCATGGTCTATGCTTCTCCCCGTGGTCCACACAACCTTCAATGACCAGCCCTGTCACCTCCCCTGTCCTTCCCGCCGTTTCTTTCTCCACCTCCTCACTCTGTTCCAGCCACACAGGCCTCCTCCCTGTTCCTCCAACATGACAGGCATGGTCCTGCCCCAGGGCCTTGGCATGTGCTGTGCCCTCTGCCTGCTAATGCTTCCTTATCCTTCAGGTCTCAACCCAAAGACACTGACACACTGGGCCAGGTGCCCTTGTGCAGTACACAACCTGCACAACCACACACAACCACTCTGGTATAAAATATAGAGCACGGCACACAGTAGGCACTCAATAAATGCACACTCTGATGATGATTTCTATCCCTCTGCTCCTCATACCTCTTTCTGAGTCCAGAGACACACAGAATTCAGACAATCTCAGGAACAGCCTTGGCTCCCACCCCAGGTTGAGAGCCATCCCCTGTCCCCTCCTCCCCAGACACCACACAGGACTCACTCCGGGCAAGGTCTTCTGCTCGTGCAGGGCAGTCTGAGCTTTGATGGCGGAATCCCTGGCACAGTAGGTGAGGAAGGCACAGCCTGGAAAGGAGAGAAACAGGGGTGTTAAGAGAGCTCGGGCACACCCATGGTCACAGCAGCACCACCCACAGTTGGCCACTAGGTGGAAGCAATCCAAGCTTCCATCCACAGATGCATAGATCTGCACAACCTGGTGCATCCACGCAACGGAATATTATTCAGCCAAGAAAAGGAAGGAAATACTGACACAGGCTGCAACATGGATGCACCTTGAGGACGTCACTCTCAGTGAAATAAGCCAGACACAGAAGGACAAATCCTGTGTGATTCTACTCCTAGGAGGTCCCTAGAGTCATCAGATTCACAGAGACAGAAAGTAAAATGGGGAGGTGCTGGGGCCTGGAGAGGGGGATGAGGACTGAGTGTTTCATGGGGGACAGAGTTTCAGTCTGAGAAGACGAGAAAGTTCTGGAGATGATGGTGGTGATGGTTGCACAACAGTGTGAATGTGCTTAATACCACTGAGCTGTACAATTTTTATTTTTATTTATCTATTTTGAGATCGCGTCTGGTTCTGTCGCCCAGGCTGGAGTGCAGTGGCGCGATCTCGGCTCACTGCAAGCTCCGCCTCCCGGGTTCGCGCCATTCTCCTGCCTCAGCCTCCCGAGTAGCTGGGACTACAGGCGCCCACCACCACGTCCAGCTAATTTTTTGTATTTTTAGTAGAGACGGGGTTCCACCGTGTTAGCCAGGATGGTCTCGATCTCCTGACCTCGTGATCTGCCCGCCTTGGCCTCCCAAAGCGCTGGGATTACAGGCGTGAGCCACTGCACCCGGCCTGAGCTATGCATTTAAAAATGGTTAAGAGGTTAAGATGGTGCATTTTAAGTTGTGTATATCTTACTATAATTTCAAAAAATAAAAAGAGAAGAGGATGCTGGAGTCACCGTGTTTTGGGAGGGGACAGTCGAAGTGGCTCAGTGTTTTCCACCCCTTCTACCCCTGCGCATACATACCTCCCCCAAAGAGTGAGCCCAGGAAGAGGGACAGAGGAGTCCCAGCTATTAACAAAGTCAGTGGCTGAGCTCAGAAAAGAGATGCTGAGAGTCCTGGACAAGGTGGGGTGAAGGGAGTGGGCAGAGGGGCTGCCCAGTGGGGAGGATGGGGAGGGCACTAGTGGTCCCAGAAAGATGGAAGAAGGCCTGGCCCTGGGATAGGGAGCAGTGGGCTCTGCCACTAACCAGCACTGTAGCCTTGGATCAGGCGCTCCCCCTCTCTGGGCCTCACTTTCCCCCATCAGAGGGAGAAGGGATGGTCTGAGAGGACCAAAAGATGAACCAGCCAATGGATGGGGGTGGAGCTTGAGAGGGTGTGGCATGGTGGCAAAAATAGGACCAATCAGGAGAGGTGAGGGGCGGGGCCAGCCCATGGAGTGGCCCAGAGTGAGGCTGTGATTGGATGACATTAGGGATGGGGATAGGGTTGGAGGCAAGGAGCAGGACCAGCCCGGGAGTGACCAAGAGTGAGGCTGTGATTGGACGACATTAGGGATGGGAGGCAAGGGGCGGGGCCAGATCATAGAGTGACCCAAAGTGAGGCTGTGATTGGGCGACATTAGGGGTGGGAGGTGAGGGGTGTGGCCAGCCCTAGAGTGGCTCACAGTGAGGCTGTGATTGGGCACATTAGGGATTGGAGGGTGGGAGGCGAGGGGCGGGGCCAGCCCTTCAGTGGCCCAGAGTGAGGCTGTCATTGGGCACATTAGGGATTGGAGGGTGGGAGGTGAGGGGCGGGGCCAGCCCTGGAGTGGCCCAGAGTGAGGCTGTGATTGGGCGACATTAGGGGTGGGAGACCCCAGACGTTGATAGAGACAGAGACAGGAGACAAGCAAGTCAAGAGAACCCGCCCTTGGCCTGAAAGTCTAATTAGATCAAAAGTATTTTGAAAGACGTTTCCCCGAGGTGGGGTAGGGATTGCACACAGCAGGTCAGGGGTCCTGGGATGAACACAGGGGACTGAGTGGACCTGTTTGGGGACCTGTGAAATGAGATCATCGTGGGCTGCCCCGATGTTGTCAAACCCTCTGTTCCGCCTCAAACCCCGCCCCTATGGTCCCTGGTCTCCCTGCTTGCTCCCCTCCCAGGGGCACTCTGTGCGGAGTTCCCCGGTGCCCACTTCTGCTCCAGGCCAGGAGCTAATTAAAGTGGCCACCTGCTGGTGTGGTGGGGAGGGGGTAGGGAATCCGAGTGAATCCCACCCCATGGAACCCTGGGGGTACCAGGCAGAGGTGACAACGGTTTCCAGCACTGAGGAAGAAAGGAAGGAAGGAAGGAAGGAAGGAAGGAAGGAAGGAAGG